CCCCTTGGATTATGGGGGCTTTGTTCTGTTCCTTCTCTTTGTCTTACAGATGAGGGGGCTGGGTACCCTGAAAACAACTGGTGTGACTTTGTTTCCTCTCATATGATAAAGGGTGGATATTCTCCTTGGCCTGCCTTTGTTCTTAATATATTTAAAGAAACACTTTTTTTATTATTTTTTACAGCAGTAGGTAGATTAAGTTCTAGTTGGGCTTTGGCCCTTCTGATTTTCTTCCAGCATAAACTCATGACGTTCTTGTAGTCCTCTTGAACGGGCTGCCTGTTTTTTCAAAGGTTATAAACTCTTGGGTTTTTTCTGGAGTTCAACTGTATTCATCCAGGCTGATCTTCTTTCCTGCTAACTTAACTTTCAGTACATGGGAACAGCTTGCTCCTGCAAGCTTGTTCTGTAAGAATATCCAATGTTCTTGGGCTCATTTGCCCATCAAAATTGCCTCCAAAGGGATTCTCTCAACCAGTTCTCTTAAAGAGGTCAGTCTGCCCTCCAGAAGTCCAGGGTACCAGTTCTCCTTGACAGTCCTCCTTACTTCTCTGAGAATCAAAAACTCTGTCATTTTCTGATCACTGTGCCCCAGACAACCTCCAGCCATCCTATCACACCACCCATGAGTCCTTCTCTGTTGACAAACAACAATTCCAGTGGGATGCCCTTCCTTGATGGCATCTTGATCAGCTGTGTCAGGACATTATATTTCACACACTCTAGCTGTCTCCTCGACTGTTTCATCTTTGCTCTATTGCTTTTCCAGCATCTGGTAAGTTGAAGTCCCCTACAAGAACAATGGCTAGTGATTGTGAGACCTCTCCCAGCTGCTTTCATACTATTTCATCCTCTTTTTCTTCCTGGTTGGCCTGGGTGGTCTATGACACCAATCATGGTATCTGTTTTTTTAAGTAAAAACTTGAAAAGATGACTGAAAACAAAGAAGAAAATATGCAGAAGAATGCATTAATAAACAGTGATTTTGTGATTACCAGTACTGGCAGATGTGGAAGCAATTTATCTGACATATCAAGCAAATTCTTTGCAGTTATTCTTTTCAATATGCTTGAATTTGACATCATGTTAGACATGATTTTTTTTTTAATAGTGGGGGGGGAATTTGGGGAAAGAATTATTTACTCATCAGTTCATTTACTTATGAGAATCATTTACTCATCAGTTCAGCTTCCATCAGAACTGACAGTACAGTAGAGTTCAGTAAAAAAATCACATGAATCTTTTTTACAAGGACTATCTTGCAATTAATAGCATACAGGCCCCTTATGTACCTGCAAGGCAACTTCTATAATATACACAGTCCAAGGAAACGCTTGTATTTAAACATGAATAGAATGATCAGCAAAACTTAGTCTACAGTTTACAGTGCTGCAGTTTTCTTGGTTTTATCCAGCAGTTCTGAAGGAGAACTGGTCAATCTGACTGCTCACCCTTAGATACTTTGCTAGTCTAATGGCAATTCTGAAAGGAAAACAACAGAGATGTTTTTCAGTGAGACTTGTTGTAGTGGGGTATTGAACTGTTAACAGGGAGAGGGAAGGGTAGATGCAATTGAATGGAAGGACAAGGGGTGATGGTCTGTTTCCAAATCTCTGACTCTGTGTTTTGAGCTCTCTTGCTTTTTAAAAAATTGCAAATAACAAGGTGACAAGTTGCAAATGCCATCTCGCACAGACGCAATCTTTGTTTTTAGTCTGGAAATTGTCCATCTTTGAAAGAGAAGACAAGGTATTTCAAAGAACACCACCCTACCTCGTGCACTTAACATTCTGTAAGGGTTTGGGTTTTTTTGTAGTTATTTCTATGCTTTGTATGCTTTTGCATTTCAAGCCCCTTTGGCTAGTGAATCTACAAATAAACAAAAGCTGCTATCTGTAGCCAGAGGTTCCTGAATGCCTACAGATGTGTTTTCATTACTGCTGTCACACTGTGCAGTTGCCAAAGTCTGTTGTGACAAATCATAGCCCTGAAGGTAGGTTAGCAGACATTTATCATCTTTGTGACAAAGAAAATGCAAATGTATCTTAACTGATTGTTTGTTTCACTGAATGCTACCCTCCTAAGGTGCGTCACTTAAATCTGCTTCTGGTTTCTCCTTTCCCATAATTTTCCAGAATAAGCATGAACTGAGAGTGTGCATAAAGATGTAATTTTGCATTCTTTCTTGCCCTGCCTACTTCTGATGGGGTTTATCACATAAGATGAAAAATAACTGGAAAATATTGTAGCTGACATTTGTCATTCTTTCAACTGATATTTACACTGTTCTCTCACATACAGAGGAATATGTGCAGTATCGAAAGGCTCCTGCTCTTTATTAGGTGTTGTTCTTCCATTTCTTCTTACATAGTTACAGAAAAAGAAAGGCTGAAGGCATGCATCCTGTTGTTCTGGGTGCAGAGACTAACCCTTATGGTGAGAGAGTTTATTTTATGATCTTGAGCTAACCTCAACAAAGTTTTGTCTGTTGTTGGTATTGGGTTACAGAATCTGTTACTTGGGAGACACTTACCACTCGTGATCATCAACCTTGAGGTTTATATCAGTATGTTTTTTAACCTTTTTAAAAAATGTTCAGATGCCACACAATTTATCTGTGGAGGTGTAAAAAATTTACATATTCAAACTATGTTTGCACCTTGTAGACACCTTTTGTGACCCTTCAGGAAGCAATGGCAAGGAGTCCCGCGTCCTATGCGGATTACAAGTTTATGTCCACTGGTTTGGCTATGATGACTGAAGATATAGCATACATAAATAGTAGATGAGATGTGAAAACTTCAATTTGCTTGAAAAATTTGTATTTAGGAAAGTTAAACTTCTTATTTTTAGAATGAACATTCTTCTCAAGTCAACACAGTTTTCACAGGCTTTTCACCTGCACATGCAGATTTATCAAGAGAGGAACACAGTTTGATGTATCAAATTATTTTCTGCAAATGAGGATGAGTCATAATTTACAAACACACTAACAGCAAACAGCCCACTGTATCAAACCAATTCACTGTCAGAAGCAGACTTAATACTGTGTCATGTGGGAAAATAGCATTTGCATTTCTCTTAAAACAGAAGATGAAGTCTTCCTACTTAAAACTTAGTAGTAATTCTGCTTTTAATTTTGTTTGGAATTCCCTCTGTGCCTGCCACAATCCATTTCACCAACAGGTGGGCAACAAAGAAGCAGTCTGCTTTCAAACTTACAATTCAAAAATGTCAAGAATCAAATTCTGTTCCTTCCATGGATTTTTTTTCTTTTTTTTTTTTTTAATTATTAAAAGGGCATTCTTCTTTACAGCTGTTGGGTGATGTGGTGGGGTTTTTTTTTAATACGAACATTTGATAATTCATATTGATGAAGTATCTGAACGAAGTATCTGAAAGATCATCACAAGAGAGTGATGGAAGACATCAGAGATGCTCCTATCCTCCCTTACCCAAGTCTTTGAGAGGTAGTTTATGCTTCTGCTAGCAATGTTCAGTATACCAGATACCATATTAGTTCTATAACAGAAAATTACTGTAGTAGATTCCACTATCTGAAGGGAGCGGACAAGAAAAATGGAGAGAGACTTTTTACAAGGGCATGTAAAGACCGGACAAGAGGTTTTAAATGAACAGAGAGTAGTTTAGGTTGGATATTAGGAAGGATTTCTTTCCTGTGGGGGTGGTGAGGGGCTGGGACAGATTTCCCAGGAAGTTGTTGATGCCCCATTCCTTGAAATGTTCAAGACAAGGTTGAATGGTGCTCTGAGCAACTTGGCCTAGTTAAAGGTGTCCCTACCCACAGCAGGGGTTTGGAACCAGAAAATCTATAAGATCCCTTCCAACTCAAGGCATTCTATGATTCTATGAATAGCTGTATACAGAAAGTGGGAAAACAGCAGTCCCCTAAACAAGCATAACAGCTCAATCCAGTGTTTCATCAGAGCACCTAAACATGTCTTAAAATAAACTGTGTGGTTATAGCACTGAATTTTCTTAGTTGTGAAACACCATTTCTGTATTGGTGTTTTCATTATGAGTATTTGTTTAAACTGTTTTGAGGTTTGTTCTTTGCTTTCAGTTTGGCAGCTCCCAGCTGACATTGTAAGTATGCATTTATTGACATAAAAATTCAAACCATGCTGTATACTGCTTTGAAGTATATAGTCTAGTATGTGAGAAGGTATTTTCATCATCAGGAGAAACAAAATAAGGACTTATCCTGTTCTGGAATATTTGACAGTTCGCAGTGGTAACAAGCAGGTAAAAATAGTAAAAGATGATTTGGAAACTGGTGCAAAAAGTGAAACTTACTTTGAGTTACTTCAATTTTTGTAAAACAAAGTTCAATTTTTTTTTTTTTAATTTTTTTTTTTTTTGGTCCACTGACCTTCACAGAATGTTTATTTTACCATGTGAAAATTGAATATTATATGAATGTATAGGCTTTTTGTAAAAAATTAAGTAAAAATCCAGCCTGGGATGGAGTCATGAAGTCATGAAGTACAACTGAATAGAAAATGCTTTTAAATATGTATGAAAAAAAAATTGACATTTAGTTACTTCCTGATTATCTAAATCATGGGAGGCAAGACTTAGAGAAATACCAGTTATTCTTCGGGAAAATTATTATTAGTTTTCCATTAATAACAATGTATTTTGCGCCTGTCAGTAGACTGCCTTGATTTTGTAATGGTGGAATTCAGGACTGTGTGATGGTTTCTGTTCCAGTGACTGACACACTGACAATTCCCTTGAAACACTGAATGCAACAAATAGTACGTAGAATTTTCAAGGAAATATTTGACAAAATTTGTGTCCAAACTGATAGAAGTTTCCTCTAATGTGTCCCCAAAACATGGTGCAATTTGAGAAAAAACAATTGTGCCAGAGAACATGCTTTTGTTCAGCTTTTAAATGACTGCAGTCATGAGCTTGTTCAAACTTCAACTAGCTGTTACTTTCTTGCTTCATCCGCAATCTGTATCTCCTTTTAGGATCGGTGGAGCACTGCCAACTGTCTTTTCCTATTTTTCGGAAGTGCTTGCTCGGGAGAAACGAGGTGAACACCTAAGCTGGCTCTGTATGTTTTGGATGATTGGTGGCATTTACGCTTCTGCAATGGCTTGGGCAATAATTCCTCATTATGGTAAGAAAAACCTTGTGATTTGTAGCTCTTCTAGTATGAAAGTAAAGCTTTTGAAGTATATATCTTAAGAGGGGGTATTCATGTCTGGTCTCAAACTACTGACCCCACTTGCAGTGGATATAGTGAAAATAAGTTGTACCCTAAATAAGAAATAATTTATTAAAAGACCCCCAAATTAGCCAATATCCATGTTTAGTCATATTCCTTAGATTAACAAAAACCTGAACACATGAAAATATGCTTGGTTTTACTACTGAGTCTGGGGAAAATAGATGATGTGGAGACTTGCATCAGAGAAAATGAATTTTAAATTGCTGGGTGTCAAATTGGTGCCCTTTTTGATACAGAGATAAATTGTCAATTATACCTTCTTGAGAAGAAGAGTGAGAACTTTCTTGATGTTTGCAGTGCTGAAATCTGAAATTAGTCTGAAATAAAACTGTGCAGAATGTTTCTTAGTAGATCTTTCTAGTAGTGTAAAAAAAGATATATGGATCAGAGTGCACTTAAGTGCAGTAAGGATGCATAAGGGCAGTGGCTAAACTTATACACACACAAAATATAAGTTACTTTGTGAAAGAGCTCTTTAACTGCCCTGACATGGTTAAACATTATATGGATGTACAGATTCAATTCTGAGTCTCTTGGGCTTGCTTTTCAGAAGAGTTAAGCGCTCACAGGTCTCCAGTGTCGCTGAGACTGCTCAAGGGTTTTTAAAAATCAGCCTCTCAAGCACTTCTCCCTAGCAGTCCTCAAGTGAAGTAAAGCAGTGCAGTGAGTTAGCTGGCATCCAAAGCAGCTTGCTTTAGCCAAACAGTGAAGTTTATCAGAGTTAGATTGTGAAACAGAGGACAACTTCATAAGGTTTGCCCAAAGTGATTTAAACATTTAGCAAGTGGTAATGTCCGGAAATAAATTACAATTATGTGGACTAATCAAATACTTAGACCGTTGCATTAAAATTAATTTTAGAGTCCAGTACACTCAACCTAAATCTATATCTTCAACCTTTCCTTTTGACTTTGAATTGCTGGAATCAAAGAGTGGAATTTTTGCTGAGAAGGCACCATGTGGATTTTTTTTCCAATTAGTAAATTGCTCTGGGCGCCAAGTACATTTTTGCTTTCCTATGGACTTTTAGTTTCTTTATCTTTCAGTTGAAAATGCAAACATTATGACAGACTGATTTACATGTGTTGTCTAAATATAAAATTGTAGATTTTATAAGTAACTCAATATCCTTTACCAAGGCGCCTTTAAAACATCACATGGCAGTATATCTCATTGAATAATAATACACTTTTTTCTACCAAAGCAATGGTCCTAGAGGAAAAAATTTTCTTCTTTCTTTAGCAGTAGAAGAATATCAACAACAAAATGCAGTGCTGCACGGATTATTTTTTGTTGGTGTTGTTTTTTTTCCTCATGCAAAAATATTTGCTCAATAACATAAGAGAAAAGCTAGAACCTGCTTCTAAACCTCATTTATATAGTGCATAGGGATTTCTGAACTCTGCTTCTCGTTTGAGGAATAAGTTGTGTTGATTTTTCTCAACTGGACTCAGAAGTTACTCAACAATAGTGAATGAAGTTGCATCTGTTGAAAAGAGGTAAACAATCACTGAGCATAGTGGAATTATTCTTAAATTAATAGGTCAACACAGTAGAATAATTTCAAATATCCTTTTCTTCCCTCTTTTACAAATGGATTCCTTTTATATTTACTGCTTCTTATATAAACGACTTTAAAACGACTTAGATTTAAAAGTATATATTATCTAGCCCAAGGCAGTCATGGAAGCTATGTATGGATATCATGGAAGCTATGTTTACCAGCTGAACATTTAACTGCATCTTTCAGTCAGAAAACAAATACTACGTTCTCTGCATGTAACGTTTCACCTCTGCTGTTAAAGCAGAGCAGGAGTGTCTGAAACATGATGAGAGAAGTGGCTCTGAAACACAAAACAAAGTGTAGCTAACAGTTGTCTTAGCATCAGCATGTTAAGTGAGGAATTAGCATGACGTACTGCTGCAGTGACCACATATGGAAAGGCTAAAATTATCTGCAGGACAAGCATCACTGTAGTAGGGATTTTGGATTTATATATCTGTTGGATGTTGTTTAAAAATTGAAAACAGATATAGATTTGTTCAGGGTCTCCTAAACCAGAGCTCAGGCCATGGAGAAGTTATTAGGAGAAATGTCTGCGGAGAAACGCTTCTAATTGCAACTAATTAAAAAGCCCAGATTAGGCTGCTACAAAGAAATTGCTTTATACTTGTATCAGGCTGGATAGGGAGAATAATAATCATTTTATAAACATTTTCGCAAATGCAACTTTAAATTTAGCATTATGTTTCAAGGTAGATTAGTTCAAAGACTGTCAAATGCATCAACTTGGTGTTACAATAGTCTTTAAAATGCTCATTTTTCAAATAATGAAGAATCCTAAGATTCAGAAATTTCCATTTAAAATCTAGACAGTGATATCTTACAATTTTTTTATCCCAAGTTTATGTGGTAGTCTGAGAATAGATATCAAAAAGAATTATGAAACTTGTTTTATCAGTTAAAAATAAACAAACAAAAGTTGTGTGCCACACGCATGTATTTTTGTAAAAATCAGTCTCAATTTTTATTGTAGCATATATCCAAACTAAACATCATGGGAAGCTGGATAAGGATTTCAGTGTGCTATTAACTTCTTTTGTTCTTAAATCTTATTCCTGAAAAAAGAAGGGGGGTACTTGACGAAAAATAAATTAAATTGTGAGGCAGAGAACAGGACAGTGCAGGTGCCCAGGCTGTTACAGCACAAGCTGCATGTGAATTCTGAAGCTTTACCTACACTCTAACATGTCAGTTCTGGTACATACCAGAGGAGAGAGGAGATAGCCATGTTAAGTGACTTCAGTGAACAAGTCTCCAAAGTATGAGCAGAAACAGAGACAATAATTCCATGTATATGCACCGAATTCCAATTAAATTAGGTTGGACTACTCCCTAAAGACTGCAAATTTCATAATACAAAATCAAGGAAATAGGAAATATACTTCTTTTGAACACACTCAATGTAAAAAGCAGATTTGAGTCTAAATATTTTTTCAGACCAATGTAATCACATTGCATAACAGATCTTCATCTAAAGTATTCATTTTTCATCACTTGAGTCTTTTTTCCCACTGAATTAAGGACCACTTACTTTTGTTCATAAGAGAGGTATTTAACACTATTCAGGAAACAAATTTGGAGTAGAAAGAAATGGAATAAGAAACTTAAGAGAAAAGCATTCAATTTCAGAAGTGAAGATTTCTTGCCTGGCTGCAATGTGTCTCTCTAGGTGTAAGTAGGATTGTATTAATATGTTCTCTTTTCCAGCAGATTTTTCAATTACATCAGCAAACAACTGGTGTTTTATTCTGTTACTGAAAGAGGACTAGCTACAAATGATATTTCTACTTTAGTCACTAGAATTTTTCAGTTTTGAGAGAATAATTCCTTTACAGTGACGCAGAACTTAAAAATGCAGACATAGAGGTGTCCAAAAGATGCACTCAGAATTGACTTGCAAAATGTTGTATTTAAAATATTAATGATAACTTCTATTTTTAAAATGTCTAGGTATGTCTCCTGCTTTCCTCACTTTTCCCATTCTTTTCCTGGTCTGTAAAATATCTTATTTCTACTTTTCACTGAACATCTTTGCCTATTACTTTTTTCTGGTCAATGTCATTAAATGAGTTTAAAGGGCAGAAACTGGAGTTCAGTTTAGGTAAGAAAGAAATTTTTATATACAGATGCAATATAGTGCTATCATAAACTACCAAATACATTTACAGAATCTCCATCACTGGAGGTTGTTAAGGGCACATCAATCCACAGTCTGTCCTCAGTAGTTTAGAACCACACTATGATCACCAAGCTTGCCACTGGAGACCTGTTCTTAATTCTCCTTTACATAAGGAGATAGTTCTTTCTCTGGCACAGAAATTCCATTAATGGCTTCCATTTCTATCTTAGTGTAAATATGATGAGAGTGGACCAATCTGCTTTTATTTCTAGTAGGAAGCGGCTTGAAGAGTTGCCTGAAAAACATTTCTCAGTTTGCAGTAGAAGATTGTTGAGGTGAAGCAGATCAGTTCACCTGAAGAAAATAACTTCACTGGCAATTAAAACAATCTTTTTTAATTAACTTTTTGGGTAGGTGGCTTGAGAATAGCCTCTGTAGTGTTTACATGTCATGTTTGCTCTGTTCTTGTGTCATCCAACTGGAGATAAAAGAGAAAAATGTATCTTCAAAACTGCAGTAAAACCCCATTCTGAATGAAATCATCATGTACTGTAATGTAGTAAAATAAGTAAGGAGGTAAGCAGAGCTGTATGGAGCAACTATGCAAATGAGGAGATGGAGAGATGCTGGCTCACTGTGCAACTCACAGCATGTACAGCACCAGGTGATGCTAATGGAGGAGTTAATCTATGAGCCTGATGTAGATTTCACTGAGAACATGATGACCTTAAACTGTTGAGTGGCAATGAAGTCAGAAAGCCTTTTAACTGCCTTATTCTATCTTGGATTTTGTTGGTTTAGATGTTTTCTCAGTGGCACATGGCAACAGCATTATTAGGGCAAAAGATCCTATGCCAGTGCTATGTATTATCAGTGGGTTTATAGGTGTAGGACATTGTGAGTACTAGTACCTAATGAGTAATAAAAGTGAAATATCTTGGGAGCCACCCATCTTCCAGCACTACTGATGAGCAGAACTGGATCCTTTTGAGTGGTGGGAGCTTTAAGTGTGGATTTACAGAGATTTCAGTCTAGCCTGCTGGTCTCCTCCCATTATGAGCAAAGTGGAGTCAAAAGGTTGAACTCTTGTGGTGATGATTATTCCCAGATGAATGCCCTGAAAAAAATGTTTCCCAGTACATAAATGAGAAGAGTATATGTTTCAGATAATGAGTGTAGCTTTTCATGTTTGTCAGCCTTTATTTT